ATGCTTTGGTGACTTTGCATCTTGCCCTGTACTTTTTTCTTCAGTATTTCACAACTTAAACAGAAAGGTTAAATTTTCAGACTGTTCCTCATTTTGTACAAACACAAAATTTCACACAAATTTCAACATATCCTCACAAATGCAGTTATTTCTGAAAAAATACCTGGGATATGGGAGCGTGCTGTTTAAATGAATACACAGACAGACAAACAAACAAACAAACAAACACAGCAACATAACATTGCCATTGGCACATGACCAATTAGGAATGGTCCATCCCATAATTTATCTTCTCCTAAGGGAATTTAGTAACCTCGTGTTGTCTATCCCATCCAACTTCATCCTCAGGCAAAACAAGGCAATATGAGAGGGTAAGGGAAAAACATAAACAAGAGCTTCCAAGAATTACAAATTACACCAGTGTAAAACACTTTAACTTCCATTCAGAATTTCCTGCTCTGTAAACACTGAGGTTTTCTTGGTGATCTAATCTATTCTAATTCAGGAGTTGGTATTAACATTCTTCAGTCCAGATTATTCTGTTTCAATAATTCAGTGATGTGTGTTACACCCACTGTTCTGCACGGAGTCTTATCTCATAGGATATTATTATGTCCCCCTTTGTGGGCTTATCTGGGTCGCTGCATAATGAATTTATGAAAGACCTTAATGCCTGGATTTGAGGATTTAAACACCCATCAGATAGCCAAGTCCTGTGTGGTCTCTCCATGGCCATATTTCATTGAGCTGACAGGAATTCTTACTTAAGGTGAAAGATGGTTAGTCATCAGAAGTTAGTCCTTGTTCCAGGAAGAACAAGGAAGAAACTCAAGCATGATGCACAAGCTTGTTTTCAGCTTATGTTTTTCCCTTTTTTTTAGCATACCACCACTGAAAGCCAGCGAGAAATCCAGCACCAAGTTTAAACTCCTCCCTTCTGAGGCGGGTCCCAAACATCTACTTGTTAATTTCTCCTGTGACAAATTCACAGATATCAAGACCTTTAAGATGGTAAATGTGACTAATTAATGTGAAGATATTCAAGGAACGGTCTGTGTGTGTATAAATTGAACAAAACGTGATAAGAAATCTTGGATAGATAACAATGAGATAATCAGCAAAACAGATTCTCATTCCCTGTGATAAGGGGGTTGCCAAGATCATATCATTGCAATTTTACACTGTAATTTCAAATAAACTGAGGAATGGTTGATTCTTCATTTGCTGTTGTGAGTGTCCATGTTATTAAAAACAACATTTTACCTTCTATTTGGAGACTGTTTGACTTTTGTCTGGCTTTCTTTGTAAATAATTCCTCCTGGCTCCAGATGTCTCTGCACAAACATTCATAAACTCATTTTTACGCATTGAAAGCCTCATACAGTGGAGTTCCAAGGCAGTGTTTCTCCTTATTGCAACTGTGATACCAGAACACAGTGAGGATGAGCTGCCCAATTTATGTCATTTAGCTTTGTTTTCTTTGCTACAGAGTCTGTCCTGACATTTTCCCCTTTTTTTGTAAATCACAGTGACTAAATGAAGCATAGGAAATGTTCAACAAGAATTTGGGTGGTGTCCAATTTGACAAACACATTGGGATAATTGCCCAGCTCAACATACATATTTTAGCATGTTGATATTTTGCACTTGCTGAAAGTCTTCTTCGGGAATCAAAAGGAGGGTAATCTTAAGTCTAAGGGTATTTTAACTTGAGAAGAGTTAGGAATTCTTCACTATAGATTATGTGCCAGGAAGTCATCTTTTAGAGTTCAAGTTTAATAAAACTAACTTAAGCCCTCTATGGAAGGATTGGTACAGGCCAAAAGATGGGTTCCAGGAGCAAGTGAACCAGGTGTAGCCCAGTGAGAGACCTGGTTTGTGGCCAATAATTGTACAGCATTAAATCAATCTCTGACTGAAAATGATCTGTGTGGATGAAGGGGATGGGAAGTCAAGCCACTGCTCTGCTGCACTCTGGACTGTTGGGCCAGGAAGCAACAAAACCTTCACAAGTGCCCTAAGCCAGCTCTGTGCCCCAACTTCCACCACACAGCACAGGGACCCTGCACTGCTGAGGAGCCCAAGCTCAGGCTGCCTATAAAGTTCTCTTGCCCTTGCAGCCTGCAAAATTGCTCTGGAAGGGCACCTGCAGCCCCCCAGGTTCCCTGCTGCCCATCACACGAGGTCAGTGTGAGCCCACACTGGGCATGGGATGAGCTACAGACAGGCTGTGCAAGGAGCCCACAGTGGTGCCCTCTCTCTTCTCCTGGTGCTCTTCAAGGCTCATCAGAGCCAAGAGGTCTCATGGTGTAAATCACAGATTCACAGAATGGTTTGGGTTGGAAGGGGCCTCAAAGACAATTCAGTTCCACCCCCCTGCCATGGGAAGGGACACCTTCCACCAGCCCAGGTTGCTCAGAGCCCCATCCAACCTGGTCTTGAACACTTCCAGGGGTGGGGCATCCTCAGCTTTCTCTGGGCAACCTGTGCCACTGCATCACCACCCTCACAGTAAAGAATTTCTTCTTAATATCTAATCTAAACCTACTCTCTTTCAGTTTGAAGTCATTCCCCCTTGTCCTGTCACTCCAGGCCCTTGTAAATAGTCTCTCCCCATCTTTCTTGTTACCTTTTAGGTACTGGAAGGATGCAATTAGGCCACCCCAAAGCCTCTGCTTTTTGAGGCTGAACAATCCCAGCTCTCCCAGCCTTTCCTCACAGGAGAGGTTCTCCATCCCTCTAATCACCTTGGTGGCCTCCTCTTGGCTACTGTAAACCACCTTAGAAGTTCAAGCTGCAGCACAATCTCGGATTTAGAATGTGAATATACACTTAACGACTTCATTTTACATCTTAGGTGTGAGAAACCACCCAGGCTGTGCTAAAATCAAATGAATTGCACCAACAGAAACTACAGAAGCCTTTAAATCAAACCTCTGGGGGAGTTAAAAGGAAGGCAACACCCTTTCCCTGCAACACTCCAGGTGCACATAAATTAATGTGTCAGATTAAAAGTGGGACAACTTGGACACAGACTGACAGAACACATTCTGCAACTTTGTGGAAGTTATGCTGCTCCCCCCTTTCTAGAATAAGGTAGCAATAACACAAGGGTAAGGTGCAATTTGGTTACCCTGGGGGTATGAAGAGTAGACAAAATTATTCAGGAGATGACTGAAATCAAAAGAATTCATTTTCCCCCTGAAAGTTAGCAAACTGCACTGCAATTTCAAGACTCTGATATGGGGGAAAAGGAGAAACAAAGTACTTTGAACCATTTTGAGGAGGAACAAAGTATTTTGAACCATTTCGGACGATGGGCGGGGGGGGAACTGAGGTAGGAAAACACCTGTGGCAACATTCAGTCATTAGTCACTCAGGAACCATGACTGCAGCATTCCAAAGGGATTACAACAGCAGCTTTGCTGTGGTGAAGGCACAGACCAGCAGGTGCCAGTTTGGGATGTAGGCCAGTCTGAGAGAGGTTCTGGTGGCTTGGTGAACGCGGCTGTGGGCGTGCCTTGCAGAGGTAAAGGAGGTGGTTGCAGCCAAGACAGAAAAAGTGTTCTGAGATTTAATTACGCATGTGAGTAGCAAGGAAGAAGAAAGGAAACAGCCAAGTGCCAGTGGGAGCAATGTGTAACATCTGAGGCAATCCCTGTAAGTACCGAGCCCTGGACTTAAGAACTGGTCGATGCGGTTTGTCACTAGGGCTGCGTGTGAACACCGGGGAACATCAGAGGCTTGTGGCTCTTATGGTTTCCAAGGAATATGAATTAAGGAAAAGAGAAAAAAGACCAACTAAAGAAGCTTTGAAGAGCAATCAAACCCATTTGAGGTGATTCTTGGAACAAGTCCTGACTGCTCAAACATCCCGGAAACTTCCCAGAGGAGGAAGCGCCACTGAACTATAATGTAAGTGGAGGCACTCTGTGCCAGGTACACTGCTGCCTAGTGGGGAAATTTCAGTGCTTTTCTTTTGGGGTAAGGCTAGCATGACTGGTCTATTAGTAAGTACTCTCTTAGTCTTTGGTATGAAAACAAAGTTTCTCAGAAAGGTGCAAGAATGCAACTTTCTTGTAAAAATCAGCCTTAGAAACAGCTTAACTTCTGCTTCCTCAGTTTGTTTTTCTTTCTCTGTAACTTGAAATGCAGATTCATTCATTTTTAAGTCTCTACTGAGTGCTAGAATATGATCAGTGGAGCTGCAGAATCTTAAGCAGATAATCCTCCTCAAAACAATGTCACTTTACTACCTGTACTCTTTTAAGTGATGGTACGAAACCAAAAAGAAATATATTCATTGTTGTTAAAATAGACAGCCTTAGAGTTTGTGCTGATAAAAACTACTCGTATTTAATATTTTGGGAGTTCTGTTTGAAATAAAACTTCTGGGCAATAGTAGTATGGAGCTAACATAACAGGTAAACAGACATTTGTTTCTGGTGGAGTTCATAATTTCATATAAGTCAGAGGGTATTGGAGATAATGTGAGATTGAAAAAAAAAAAAACCTCTAAAACCAACTCACAGCTATTGGACACAAACAGAAGTGATATTAACCAACATGGAAGTTAAGTCATCAGGAAATGCTCCTTTTTCCTTCAGATGGCTTTTATGTCCCACCATGCTCCCCATTTCCTCACCCTTAAAGATAACTCATTCATGGCACACCTATTATCTTTGTAGGAAGTTCTTTCTGTCTTGGGATTCAGGAGCATGCATTTCCTCTGAGTAAATAATTTTGGTATCTCCTCCCATAATTACACCCACATTGAGTAGGACCTTTGGCATTAGACATCTACATATTATAGGAACCAGTTAATTCGTTTGACAAGCCTACAGGTATTAATAACAACGGCTAAGTACCTCTCCCATCTCTCAAATTTCAGCTGACAGCACAAAAAGATTGCTGGGCTTTCTTCTTTTTATGATTGATGTGACTTGGACAACCTTGAAGGCCAAAGCAGAAGCTGTATGCAATTCTCATAAGCTGAGGGAATGGCAGGTGAGTTCTGCGAGTCATTTGCTTCCCTTCAGCAGGTACTTTCTTCAGGACTGTTTCCTCAATATACATGCCCTGTAGGTATCTGCTCAGATTTCTTATCTGAAGGAAATTCTATATTGTAATTTGTTCTTGCACTTCATTTTCTGAAGTTTTATTGTTGTTATTGTTAAGACCTGTTTGAGAATAGTTTTTAAGCTAAACAGAGAATAATAAAGGCAGGGAGGAGAAAAGAAATTCCCATTATTTCAAAAGGCACCATTTTTTAAATGCTGTGTCAGAAATGTGTTATGCTTTGTATTAACAAAATCTGTGTAATCCACCCTAATGGAGCTGTGAGCATGGAGCCCATAGATGGGAATTCAAATATGCATTAAAACCCTACCAAAGGAAAACAACGACAGTATGTCTGCTTTTTAAAGTTTAAGATGACTGTTGAACTGGGAAATTGCAAAGCAAGGTTCTCTCTCATTTAATGATGGGACAAACATTTACAAATCAGTTTGTAAAATGTTGCTTTGCATGGAAAGCAGCACTAACTGCAGTTCATTGTTGTTCCAGATACTCATGCTAAAGATTCTCCTTTTCAGCCCGTCAGTGCTTACTCACTTAACTTCTTTATGGTCTTAAACCAGAAAAAAAAAATCCTTGAATTTAACTATGGCCCTTTTTTTGCCTAAGTTAGTTTTCACTTTTACCTCTTCTTCAAAGATTAGATATAAATTGTAGTTTAATTTGCAGCTATATTGTTTCAGATCTGACTTGGTATTTAATTTTTAAGCTCTATGGTATGAGATAGACCTGGAAGCTTGTTTGAAGATTCCTGCAATAACTGCATAGGCCTTAATCCATCCTTTCCATCCTATTCTTTTTGTTGTTATTACTTTTTTCTTTTGACTTCCCTTTAAAATGGTGGTGGTTGTGTTCCCCCCATTCTGTCCCTCCACCCCCAACCTCATTGCTTTTATGACATTGATATTAATAAGAGTGACTTGGAAGAATCTTCACTGAGGTGCTTGCTCTGAGCATTTGCCAAAACTTTCTACACAATGCTCCAGGTGTACTTGGGAGAGTCTCCCAGGACAGACAGAAACACAGAAAGTGCTTCTCAGCCCTTCCAAAGACAGTAAAACTGCTCAGGTTTGAGCATGGCAACAAAACATGAGCTATAGGAGGGAAAACAATCATTCAAGAAAGATCATATAAATACCTGCTTGCCAAAAAGGTAGTTTAGCATTTGAGGTGGCAAGAACCACTTGATGGGTTTTAAACCACAGACCATAATAACAGCAAATGTGCAGGAGGACGTGATATTGGAGAACTCCAGGCAAACTGCAAGTCATCAGAATTCCTCTAGGACATGAAGCTAGTGCCTACTAGAACAGGAATTCCAGTGGTTCAGCTGTCACTTTGAACAGAGCTAGATTCAGACAGAGTGATTTCTTTGTCAAAAGCTCCAATATGTCTGGAAACACCTCTTGTTCATCCATCTCTCACTATGCATTTTTCCTTTGCACCTAGGCCAAATGGCATCAGGGTTTAAGCAGGAAAAGTAAGATGTCCTAAGTGCCATTCCCAGGATCCTAAAAATATGTATGTTTAAAATATAGAGGGGTTACAGGCCACTTTATTTGCTGTTGATAATGAAATTACACCAATTTGCCCCTGTAAATTTTTTTTTTGCCCAGTAGTAAAACAGCATCCAGCAGTGTATAGGAAGTATGTAAGTCCCAGTGTATGACAGCCCTGTAACAAAACCCAAGCAAAACTTTCTGTTATTGACCACTAAACTTAATTTAATGGCTCATGTGCTTTTTAGCTGTACTTCCTCCCGCAGAAGGTAATTGCTCTTAGCAGCCTCATCGTGCCACTAAACAGCTTCTTTCCCTGCTGGCTGCTTCTTCATGACTTCTGTTTTACAGACCTGACCCCCACACACATCAGCTGGCAGCCATCAGTGAACGCAGCCAACCACCACACTGACAGATATGCCAACACCGAGCTGACCGTGAGGAGAGGACAAGGCTTCACCATCACCCTGTACTTCAACAGGCTGAGGCAGAATGGGGAGAGCCTGGCATTTGTCACTGAGATAGGTAACAGTCCCTTAGCTCAACCCATGTTCACATCTCTTCTCCTTGTACTTCTCTCCCTGTTCTATTTAGAGATGCAATTTGTCTTCGTGTGTTTCTAATGCTCTTCCCCCTGCAATATGCTCAGTTTCAAGTGCGAGGTTAATACTGAAATCCCACTCTGGAACGGAAACCAATCCACCCTTCTTTCTGGCAGGGCCATACCCCTCGGAATCCCATCGCACCAGGGCTGTGTTTAACCTCTCTGAGGCCGGGCCCAGTGGCTGGAGTGCTGCCCAAGGACCCAGCGAGGCCACAGCCACCAACTTTGTGATAACCAGCCCAGCCAACGCTGTCATCGGGCGATACAACCTCACCCTCCTGGTAACCTCAGGGAACAAGATCTCCTCCAGATACCTGGGGCAGTTTGTGTTACTCTTCAACCCTTGGTGCACAGGTAGGTGCCAACACCTTTGTTCTTGAACGTAGCTGACCCTGTTGCTTCATATCTGCCCAGAGAGCTGCTCCCTCAAGCTGTCTCTCTCTGGGTCATCGGTGGCTGCAATCTCAGTGCTCAGAGATCTGCTTTTAATACATTAAAAAGCTGCTGCCACCCCCCTCCCTTTTATCCTAGCAAAGTGTGCTATATGGGGTTATATCACAGACTCTTTAGAACTGAGCAGATCACTTTGTCTGCAGACAAAGGCTGACAGGCTTTTGTAAGTCCATGTACTTCTCAGAACTCGGAACAAGGATACAGTAACATCCTTGACTTGCACCTAAATCAGAGCGAGACTGCCCTTGTAGATGTTAACTGCAAGGACAACAGCTCAACTAACTTCATAAAAACTGGGAGGGCTAAAAGTGAAGATTGGCAATTCACAGAATGGTTTGGGTTGGAAGGGACCTTAAAGACCATCTCACTTCAACCTCCCTGCCATGGGCACAGATGACACCCCCCAGGTCAGGCTGTGCAGGGCCCCACCCAACCTGGCCTTGGACACTTCCAGGGATGGGGCAGCCACAGCTGCTCTGGACAGCCTGTGTCAGTGCCTCACCACCCTCACAGTAAAGAATTGTTTCCTAATCTCTAATCTGAGTCTCTCCTTTTTTAGTTTATAACCATTCCCCCTTGTCCTATGACTCTCTGCCCATGTAAAAGGTCACTCTGCCTCCTTTCTAAAAGCCTCCTTGAAGTACTGGAAGGCCACAAAGAGGTCTCCCCAGAGCCTTCTCTTCTCCAGGCTGAACACCCCCAGATGTCTCAGCCCGCCTCCATAGTAGATTTTTTGCAAATATGCCCTAAAACATGATATTCTAGAGTTAAGAGAGCTCTTAGCCATCCCAGTGAGTAAACAGTTTATAAAAGAACAGCAACCACAATCATCCACTATTTTCTTCTGTGACCAAATATTAGTCAAGGGCCACTAAGAAATATGTTAAGAGCCAAGATGAAAAAAAAATGTTAATTAGCTCAGCAAGTCTTGGAAGTCAGAAATAATTACAGAAGTATGTTCAGGAAACTCAAGACTGTCTCTGCATAGACAGTCCTGAGAGAAAAACCTCCCCAGAACCCCCTGAAAGATCATTTGTGTGTAACTTGTAATTAATGGAAACCACACTGCTGGGACAGCATTATTTGACAGCTCCTGAACTGGAACACCAGAGGTACTCCTGAGACCAGACAAACTCCTCTGAGATGAAAACAGGAAAATTAAGCTGCACCATTACAATTTAAAACTAGTAATGCTGCAGAAGAGCCCTCCAGATTTACCAGATGATGCAATGGCTACTGACAGATAAAAGGGAGTATCCTTGAAGGAGGATGCTGGTGAAGTTCTATAGAGTGGAAAAGCTCCCTGATCCTGAAAAACAGGAACAAATTCAGTTTGATTGTATGTAACCACTATGGTAAGTGTCATAGCAGAAAGGAAATAGAACATTTATTTTCTCAGCTATGGACAAATGGCAGATCTGGCCTGTAGATATGGTTCCAGATGTGAGATTATTCTTTAAACAGGAATTAATTCATCAACTGGAATATCAGTAAAGAACCACTTAGAAGAAAACAGTCAGGACTAGAGACAAAAGGAAAAGCACTGGGTTGCAGAAAAGCTACTAATGGATCCTTAGGTGTCATCTGAAAAAACACTCTGATCAAGTAGTTCATCACTGACTTTGACATGCTGACATTAAGCAACATTGTCCATGCACAGGTGGGCTGGGACAACACATAGAAACACTGGCTGACCTTAGAGACTGGGGTAGGTCAGAAGGAATAAGATACAATAACACAAAATAAGAGATCGCACGTTTAGGGAGAAATAACAATAATTTCAATGGCAGAGTTATCACCTGCAAGTCATGAAGAATGTGGAAACGCTTGTTAATCAAAGAACAAGAACCAAAGTGAAGTGGCCCTGAAAAAGGAAAATCAATCTTAAACTGTATAACAGAAAACAGTCAGATTTAAATATTAATGCCATTGTATGAGGTGATGAAATCTCATCATTTGGAATTTTCTTTCAGCTGATCTTTCTTGAACAGAAATTATTAATTAGAACATGTTCACGGACCAGAAAAAAAAAAATCTGGTTTAGCAAGCCATAAAAATTTATCCCCTTTGGAAGAAGGGGCAGAGAACTAGCTCACAGGGCTAGAAGGATCCTAGAAAGTTGTCTAGTCCCACACCATCCTCAAGGCAGGTCCTGTTCAGCACTTAGGTCATTCCTGACAGGTTTTGAATTCCTTCCTAATGATCAGCCATTAGGGAAGCTCCAGTACCTCCCCTGGAAATTCCCTCCAATAAAACACCAGCCTTTCTAATAGAAGTACCTCCTATTAACAAACAAATCTTTCTTGCTTCCATTTCAGCATATAATTTCTCATCCTACATATGATAGACACCAAGAATAGATTTCCTTCCCCCTGCCCCATCCTGTTCACAAGAATTTCTGGAATTGACTGCCATGCTTGGCCCATTCCTCACCCCCATTTTTTTCCTACCTTAAATAATTCTGAGTTAATTCATAACTTAGGTTTTCAGGATTGCTCAGCATTCCCAGTGCTCCTCCCACTCTTTCCAACTGGTCCAGAGCTGGAACTGCACACAGGTTTCCAGGCTCATGCCACCCCAAAAGCTTAGCAATCAACAATAATGACATTATTTTTAAAAAACATGGACAGCAACCACAAAAATAGATTTATATCACGTGATATAATTTTTAAAATAAATTGCAATCTTTTTATTTGCAGGAAGGGAAGGATGGGAAGTTCCTATAGGAAGGTAAAGAAGTTGACTCAATAAAATAGAAAAGCTGATTTTTTTTTTTGTATGTATTTCCTGAAATCCTGGAGCTTTCAGAAGATATTTTTAAACAGTATGGAATTAAACTCAGAGCTAAGCAGATATTGCTACTTAAAGAAGGATGAAAACAATCTAAACCTCTGTGGGAAGCCAATGCTTTCATAGCAGCTACATACTGTGCTTGGAAAACCAATGAGGAACAATGAAACCCAAGTGAATGGTTGAGCAGGCTTTCCTAATAACTGGAAAACATAAAAATGTTATCTGTGTGTTTCTTTTCAAATGTCTGTTCTACTTCTTAACTACCCTGAGAAGACAGAAAAAAATCTGTGAACCTGGACTTTTCTCACAGAAACACAACGTTTAGGGGACATTTAAATCATACACAAGGGCTACACTAAAAGTAGGGGATAAAAGTTAAGTAATATAATAAGGATCTTTTGGGTCCCTGTCCCCCCAGGACATTTACAATAACAGACATTATCACTGAACTCTACATGTTCACGGAGCTGTAACGATGTGTTTTGCAATTAGTAGTTTTCCCCTTGCTAAATCAAGACAACAATGTTTTTGAAAGGTTGCTAGTGTTGCAGCTTTAAGCCTGCCCAACTTGGTTTTCAGGTGATGATGTCTTCATAGCCAATGAAAATGAGAGGCAAGAATATGTTCTGAATGAAAACGGAATAATCTTTGTGGGCAACGCAAGGTACATTGAAGCAAGAGCATGGTATTATGGACAGGTAAGCCATAAGGAATTTATTTTGACTCTCATTCTGTCCCAAACAGCATTTCTCTTATCATTATTTGCCTCTCCAATAGGCCTGTTTATGTGAAAACTGCACAACCCTGGGTAGCCTTACTTTGCTCACAGTGTGTCTAACAGTGTCTCTCAACAGTGTCCCTCACTGTCCCTGTCACCTCTGGCCTGGAATATCTCAGAAAGGAGGAACCGCAGTAAAATCTCCTTTAATTCTGTTTGGAAGCCATCTAATTTCTTAAAAATGTATCTTATCTGATCACAGTTTCAAGACCTTCTAAACATCTGCCTCACCATGCTGGATCTGAGCCTGTACTACCGCCAGGACCCAGGCATGGACGTGTCACGGCGAGGAGATCCCAAATACGTGGGCCGAGTTATCAGTTCTATGGTAAGAAACGGGCAACTTCACCCAAATCCCACAAAACCTGAGCAGAAAGAGTCAGTTACACCAGGGAGACTCAGCCACCTGCATCTTATGCAATACAATTAACCAGATGGGGTGCACGATGCACAGCTCATTTCGTGCATTCTGTCCACTGGCCTCTTTTTAGATCAATGGAAATGATAACGACAACGGAGTTCTCCTGGGAAAGTGGCAAGGAAGCTTCCACTCTCATGAGAATCCATCCAGGTGGGATGGCAGCGTGGTCATCCTCAAGAAGTGGCGCCAGGACAACTACAGGCCCGTTCAGTACGGCCAGTGCTGGGTGTTTGCAGGTGTGATGTGCACAGGTAAGCCCTGGGAACACAGGACTCTGCTGAGATGGAGGCACTTGTGACCTCTGGATTAATCAAAAAACCACAAAGCAATAAACTCCACAAGAGGAACAGTGCTGTGAAGAACCCAAATGCTGAAGAATCACAAAATATTTAGACCCCTAACTTTGTTTCTCAGATGTTTGTGTAATCATTGAGCTGCGTGGGTTTTGTTGTATTCGTTGCTCATTTGTTTTGGTTTCTTTTAAAATATATTTCAGTTCTGAGGTGCTTGGGGATTCCAACCCGTTTGGTTTCCAATTTTAACTCTGCCCATGACGTGGATAGAAACCTGAGTATTGACAAGTACTATGACAGCTCTGGAAGGAGTCTTAATATCAGCAAGGATTCCACATGGTAAATATAATTTCTTGCATCTCACTAATAACTAGGGAGGGGATTTAGGAGACTTAAAAACACGAACACCAGTGGTACAAAAGCAACCGAGTGGACACAATGTAATACAACTATCTAAATTAATACTGTAGACATCCATTTGGAAAAAAAAAAAAAGAAGAGAAGAAAAAAACCCAAACAACATACTTCATGGTTGTCTCCCTCCCTGCCCTGAGGTCTAGACCTCAAAAACAGGCATTAAATCTGTCCTTTGAAAGAGGCAGTGAGTTAGTATAATGAGACAGCCTGTATCTCAGTTTGGAGAACCTTTAAGAGCCAAAATTCACTACTCCTTTCAAACTGGAAGCCTGTATGACTCTATATGACCGTGCTTTCTAGACATTGCTCTTTGTCTCCAGGGATTATCACGTCTGGAACGAAAGCTGGTTCGTTCGCCCAGACCTGGGAAGGTCGTACAACGGGTGGCAGGTTTTAGATGCGACCCCGCAAGAACAAAGCAAAGGTAACAGTATAAATTACCAGTGTTTAACAGTGGCTTCTCCAAACTGAGCACAGCTAATAGAGTTTGGCCTTCTTTCTCACATTCTAGGGATTTTTCAGTGTGGCCCTGCCTCCGTCGTAGCCATCAAAGAAGGCGAGGTGGACTTGGATTACGACACCTTGTTTGTGTACACGGAGGTGAACGCTGACTGCAACAGGTGGATCGTGTACAACGATGGCACCAAGAAAAGGGTTTATTGTGATACTGAAATCATTGGCAGGTTCATCAGCACCAAAGCCCTGGGCAGCAACGCCCGGGTGGATGTCACCGCTAACTACAAATATCCGGAAGGTAAAGGGATTGTCACGTTATCTCCTTGTTATCACGACTGTTTCCTGCTGAGTTCTTGGTGCTGGGAGGCAGGATGAGCAACCTGCTTTGTTTGAGCACCTCTCCGCTTTCCTTCAGAAAATATTTCCACCAGTGTTCTCAGATTACTTCCTAAATACAACGGGTATTACCTCTGGCTTTGTGCATTTAACAGTTTCCTTATTAGGGCACAACACAAAGTACACTTTAGTCCCTTACACAGAGGTATAAAATTTAATACATTCAGAAAACAGGGCTATAAAATACACCTTACTACCCAAGGCAGACCAAAACCCTCAGGGTGTCATACCAAAACATCCTGAAACTGGGTCCATTGTGTATCATGAACTGTGCACATATCTGTAGTATAGGACACTGAGGTCACTAAGTACTAGTTTTCCAACCTATCTGGCAGAGGGAGTGGGGCAACAATCAAACCACTAACCCAAAACCTTAAGCTCCAGTCCTCTGCATTATCTCCCACATGGCAATCACATACCCAGCCATTCAGTGTTTGCACTGTCAGTGGACTCTGTCTCCACATCATTGGATTCTGGAATCAAAACTACTAGGAAAGAGTAAAGGGACTAAGTGTCATTCAACTGTATTTAGGAAAACAAAGCAGCAAAGGGTTAAGAGCTGCAGAGCCATTTGCTTGCAGGAATATTTTTTTTTATCTTCCCTCAGAAACTTGGTACACAGATCTTTCCATTTTGGTTTTTTTTTTTTGGAGGTTTGTTTTGGTTGTTTTTTTTTTTTAATTTAGGGTTACAGATTTCATTTAATAGTTTGCTTAATGTTTATGGCCCAAAGTCTTAAAAAAAAAAAAAAAAAAAATCTCTATTTCACTTGTTTTAAAATTTGCCATTTGGAATCAGTGGCCATATTTCAATACTTCACTCTTCAATGTTTTAGTGCAACTGTATTTAATACAGAGGCCGTCTGTCACCAGATCAGCAAAGACTTATCACAGTGCTGCAAGTTCTGACCAGAGAAAGAGAAATCTTGCTTCTTTAACAAATACATTATATTTCATTTCAGTGATTTATTCACCTTATAACAGTGCATTTATTACTTCCCTGTGAAAAACCTGAACAGAGGATTAATGGAGATCTGGGGAACTTTCAGGTGTTGCATATGCAGAGCTGACACCCTGTACCACTCTGAAAGCCTTTACCCAGAGGAGGTGCATTCGCAACAGAAGCAGAGTTTTACTTGGTTCTCTCCTTCCCCCAGGCTCTTCCGAGGAAAGACGTGTTTACAAAAAGGCCTTGGCCAAGATATTGGGAACGAGTGTCACAGAAGGACGCACAGAATCTGCGGATGGGAGACCCTCAGAGACAGTCAGAAACCCTGGCATTGCTGGGAAGTTCAAGCTGGCTGAGCCTCCAGTTTTTGGCAAAGACATTAATCTAATCTTAGTTCTCAACAACCTCTCCTCTGACCGCAAGGCCGTGAGGGTGGACATGAGTGCCTCCACCATCCTGTACACCAGGAGAACAGTGGCAGAGATCCTGAAGGCAACCACTTCTGCGGAGCTTGGTCCTAAACAAGGTAACTTTTAATGGTCCCAAGGAGCCAATCTAGCCCTCTTCCTAGCCACAGCAAGGCAACTGGGAGGAAGAAACATCAGTATCATACCTAGATCAGCCTCATAGTGCATCCAATTCCTACCATCTCTTAATAGCATTGTGATTAAATTTTACATGATTTTTTCCCCCACTGAAAACTTTCACTACTTCAAGAATGAATTGAAGGTCTCATCAAATGTTACATAGAAGGCTACATTTATGTTACAGCTCCAGAAGCAACACTATACATATGTGTGTGTGTGGCAAGATCTATATATCTATCTATATATATGTGTGTGTGTGTGGTAATTATTACATGTACATAGGAACATACCTTACTATAAACAAATAAAAGAAGTCTGATGTGTGCTTTCTGGCACCCAACAAGCAACACTTTAAAAGAAATCAACTAGGACAAAGTTTAAAAGTTACAGCGAAACTCTGTTTTGAAGAGCCACAGCTACTGAAATTATTATAGAGATCTTTTTCATCTCCAGGGGCTACAAAGATATACATTTTTCCCCATACACAGCAGGAAAGTTGTAGGACTACAGTGAGCAGCTGACCAGGTCACTTGAAAAGGATCTCTGTGAAACTTGACCCAAACTTTCTTCTTGACTGAGGTAAAACAAAGAGGATATAAGGAGGGAATAGATAAAAATAGTTACACCTCTAATTGTAAGAAATACAAAGGGCCAGGAATCCAGTGAAATGCAGAGGAGAAGACTCCCTCAGTTTCAGAACAAAATCCTCTATTCAAAACTGTAAGGGTCAAATGAGTTAAAGTAGAAAATGATCACCACAAGAGGGAAATACACAACCAGTCTCACAAGAAAGAAATATAAACAGACTCCATCTGTCTTATCTTTTTTTCTCTTCAATAATTAAAAAAAACCAAACAAACCTTGCTGTAACTCTCTTTTCTTTAGCTTTCTTTGAAAATGTAATAGTTCCTAAACATATGTCTGTATTCCAGGGAAGCATATCCGGGTAAAGATCCCTTATGCTCATTATGGAAAATATCTGACCACTGACAAAAGGATCCAAGTCACTGCTCTGTGTGAAGTCATGCGCTCGCACGGGCTGAAGCTGCTGGTAGAGAAGACAATCATTTTAGAGGACACAAACATCATCATTAAGGTAAACAATTCTCTCCCTGATGTCCCAAACGGACACTGAGGGGTCTTTCTGGAGGTCAGATCTTAAGATGAGAATTTGGGGATAAATTAATTCATTTAGGCTGCCATTTCAGACCTTGCTCCAAAATCCTGCTGCTTAAATTGAGAAGGCAAGGATGGGAGAGGCCAGTTCTGAACCTTGGCCTGAACCTGACCCTGTTCTTCAGAACAGCTCTTTCTTTCCCAGTCACATGCCACAGCTTTATGTTCACAGCACTCGTTCTCATTTCAGGTGTTCTAGTTACACAAGTGCTTGTGTTGCCTTTAAACAACTTTGCCTGCTACCAGAATAGAGGTTTAAACCCTTGATTCCAGTCATTGCTAGGGCCAGTTCTTATTGTTTCGACACTTCAGTTCTCATCAGTGATGAGCCAAAAAAGAAAAAAAAAAGCCACTGAGCACCCCAAGGATCAGGCAGGTGTCAGGGATGTGTCTGTGCAGGCAGGGCTCTGTTCCACTGAAATTACGCACAAAATATTGCAGACAGCTCCACAGCACAGCTTAGCTAAGCCAAGCCCAGCTTCAAACACCAGGAAAGCTGTCAGCTAAATGCCACAGCTGAGTTCTGACTCCAGAAGAGAGTAAACCAGTGACTGATCAGAAACGTGCCTTTGTCCCGCAGCTTCCCCGGAGGATTGTGGTGAACAGAGCTGCGACTCTGGAGATCTCCTACGCCAACCCCCTCCCCGAGCCCGTGAGCCGCTGCGTCCTCCTGGTGACTCTGATGAACCAGCAGGTCAAGATAAAGTAAGTGAAAGCTGCAGCACGTACTCGGTGCTTCCAACGCGACCAACAGCACGTCACGTGTCTCAAAAAGAAAAAAAAAACCACCCAAACACGCTCTAATCGTCTTTTTCATATTTTCTATTTATGAAACAAAAATGCCACCAGGTGTATATTGGGATGTTATTGTTTCTTAATCACACACTGTTTGTTCCACTTAGGAACACCTTCCACAACTGAAAAACTATTAACATTATCCTTCCCTGGGAAAGCAAACATGCATGTAGAATTCTTTTGTCTCTCTGAAGTTTGCAGCTTGGCTTCATGTTTCTATTTTTAAGCACAATGCCCTAATACCACAGGTATAACTCTGAGCTAACAAGTCAGACACTGCCATAGCTCCCCTTGCTTCAGCCCAAACAAGAAGTTGCTCTGTCCTCCTTTAAAGCAGGAGAAAAATATGCCTTTTTGAAATGTAAACCCATGATTTTCTATTGTTTTTTTTTCTTTTTCTCTGGACTCTGCTGCTTTATGCATTAACTCACTGTTGAGTAGCAGTTCGTATTTCCTAGAGCTTCCTTTTATTAGTATAAAAAAAACGTGACTTGCTGTGGCTCTGGAACTCTTTGGACAAGAGAATCCATAAAAATATGGAGAACATTATTCCAGTTGAAGACTAAGCCAATTTAGGCCAAAAAAAAGGTAAAAAACAAAGCATAATGGCCATTAGAAAAATCATGTTATTGCCAAAATGGATATGAACCGAGCAGGTATTGGACAGATCTTTGACTTTAGAGTTTTCCTGTTCTGAGTTTGTGTTGACTGTCCAAATTTGCAGTCAGCCCTAAGGCCTGACATGGCACTTCTCATTTCCATAAGTCTATTCAAGAGTAAATGAAGATAGCACTGTCTCATTTCTTAGCCCACACAAAGCCTCAAACCTTAAGTAATTCTCAAAACCCAAGGCTGGGGCACAAGTAACCGTTGAGTCCCTTGCTCTCATGCACTCCTATTTCTTGGGAATCTCATAAAAAGACAATGTAAACCTGAATTAATTGATTTTTTTCCCTTTTTTTTCTTCAGTTTGGCACGACTGGCACCGAGGGAGAGATCAAAAATTTATTTTGAATTCACACCTCGGAGGAGTGGGCCCTTACAGCTGCAAGTAGACTTCTCTTGTGACAAATTTTCACACGTTAAGGGATTTGTAACCATTGCAGTAGCACCTTCATAATGTGATGGAATCAAACTCCTATTTCAGCAGTAACATGACAAGACATCCTCCCCTGGATAGGAAAAGTGATGACAGAAAGGAACTTTCCACAAAAATTGGTGACCTCTTACATTGCAATAGAATCAAGTCTCCTACTTTCACAGTGCTTAATTTAGTCTCTAATTGTATTTCTTCCTTTTTTTCCTCCCTCTTGAATTCTTTGTAGAAATAGTTTCACTGTTTTATCAAATCTCATTCTGTTCAGCTCCCAGTTTTGACTTTGCCATCAGGCAAACAATACAGTCTCTTTTTGACCTCATTCTAATTGTCAGCAATAAATAAAAATCATTCATCACTGTATTATTTTGTAATGAATTTTACATTCCATGGACATTATTACAAGAAGTCACGAGATTGAGGAAAGTTCTTTTTAATTCATTTCACAAGCCTCTAGCCTAAAAGAATAGAACATTTCCCTCCACTGTTCACCTAATTTCTGTATTTTGTGACACATATAGCTCTGTGAATGGGGAGGAAAAAAGCCTGTGAAGGGTGGGAAAGTAATGTGTGGGGTCTGTGACAGTATTTCTGTGGGCACAGGCCTGGCACAGAGTGGAGAACACATGGACATATTCAAAACAGTAACTTCATTCTTATGTAGCCTGACAGAGCCTGGCATTAATGTGACAGCCCAGCAGCACAAGGTCACCAACACTTTTTGCCCACCAGTGTAAGGTCACTGGAGACAAGGAACACGTTTGTCTTCAAACCTTCCCCACGTGGCCCCTCCATGAGCAGCCCCAGCTCCACCCCTGCCAGTTTGCTGACAGATGCCTCTTCTGTGGGTTCCCAACCCCAGCATTTCCAGGTGCCAGGTCTCAGCTGGAACACACTTTCAGGCAGCTGTAAGGATTCCCTGTTCCAGCCTCTGCTGTGACAGGTAAGGACTGACCAGGCACGGGAGCCTCCAGGTCACACTCCAGGGTGTGGGGCAATCACAGTGTGCAAACAGCTCTGCCAAGCCTCAAGATTTACATTTGCTGTACAACTGGCAGAAAGATTAAAGCTGAATTAATAAGGCCAAAATTCTGAACCACAGAGCTGTAAGGAGTTAGGGATATGAAAACCTTTTTCTGATAATATTTCAGAGTCTGAGGCATCCAGATATGATCACAAACTCCTACTGAAAAAAAAAAACAAAAAACAAACACACAAGAAACCATAACAGAACTCCAGATTCCTTTTTTTAAAAAAATACACTTAAACTTCAGGCAATTAACTTGCCTTTTTGGTTCCTGGCAATCTTGCTATGAATTGGAAACAACAAATATGAAGTGGAAACAAAACAGAAAACAGAACAAAAAGGCAGTGCAGAAGTGTGAAGGTGAGGAAGATGACGGATCATCCCTTCTCCCCTGACACCACTTACTCCTCATCACAGTCCATTCAAGGTTCAGAACAGCGTTCAAGCTACTCTGGGCACAGACTGGCAGGGTACGTTTGTAGATAAGCTGTGACACAGGACGAGGGAGGAGACAACGCGAGGGAGCTGCAGGAGCTGAGAGCGCCTGTAATTAGAGTGGGCAGGGCTCGCACCAGCAGAGCAGCTCTGCAGCTTCCTCCGGGGCCAGACTCACAGTGCCATGCCAAAGAGCTACAGAGAAACTTTGTACATGCATTATGAACCCCAAACTATAAAGAAAAAATTATTATTAAAAGCAGAGACAGCCATTTAAACATTTCTCTTTACTTAACAGAAGTCTCTGATCACAGCTGACTGCACAACAATGCCCTCTCTGGGGGATGTGCTGCTTCACACAGAAGAAATGCAGATTACAGGTAACCATGTCAGGAACAGATAGTGAGAATGCACATGTCTGTATTGCAAGAAAGAATGAATTACATGCAGTTATGTGAAAGATCTTCAGGCAGACCTGCCTTAAAAAAAACAGAGTGAAAAAACCCCAAACTACTGAGTGACAGTAACGCTAATTATTACAAATTTACTCAGATCACTCCATGTCCCAACAGCCAAGCTGTACAACAGGTATATTTGTCTACGCTTGCCCTCTGTACATACAGTCTCCAAAAACCTAAACTGACACAAACCAAACTATCCAAAATTAAGTTTCTTGTGTCTGCTTAAGATCATATTTCCTTCGTTAGATCCGATTTGGGATGTTTTCCCCTCTAAGACACCAGAATACTGATTATCATCTTTCTTCAGTCATTCACCAGTTTTAAATAAGCATAATTGGACTCAAGATTGTGCAATTAAAGCAGTCATCAGTGGATGCTCACGTAGGATATCACTACAAAAACAGTAACTACCAACCACAGGTCACACCCAGCTTGTATAAACTCCAGCCTGTGTAGCCAAGTCCAGTCCTGAGCCTTTCATTATTGGTGCTGGTGGAAGAAGATTTAGGATGTTCTTGCACACTTTCGTGTCCATAACCTGAACCACACACAAGTGAGGAAAAGAAGAAAGAAACCTCATGGCAGGTAAGTTCATCCTGATGGCTCCAGACATCACTCCTCCTATCCAGCTGAGTGAGATTTGCTGAGGAAACAAGATAAATTACAACTAGCTGTTCTCTCAGCAGCTTAGCCCTCTTTAGGTTTAATGTATTTATGGGTTATTCTACTGGAACTGATTTTCTATCATGGGTCTTGAACATATTCTTTTTTTTCTGTAACACAGAAAAGTAGATTAAGAAGATATTTTTTCTATCATATCAATTAACTACTCTATTCAGTGCTTCTGCAGCCACCTAATCAACACCGTTGGCTACTGACTGGGGCATCCTACTGCCCCATGGAAGTCCCAGGCTCTGATATCAAATGATGTCTGGCCTCAGACAGGTCACTTGGTGGCCTCTGGACTCCCACATTCCCCTCCCTACAGAGGGGCCATGGCAGCTTGTCTGTGTGGTGTTGCACTGACTCTCACTGTCCTCATGACTGGAGAGATCTCTAGTTAGACAGGTGTGTCATGTAATGCACACACACACAGAGTCCACCTACAGTTTAGTTTAAAGATGTTTTTCTGTTACAGCTTCAGCTTTCAGTCAAAGAGAACCCTGTGCACATGATCAGCATTTTCAGCAGTGATCACCAATTCTGCAGGCTTTTGCTTCTGAGCTTGCTCCCAGTGTCTGTCCACTACAGGACAGACACCCAAAGAAATTTTTAGAAGTTTGTCCAATTGTACACTGACAGAATTACTGAAAATGTGTTTTTCTAACAGACACCAAAAGAAGAAAAAAAAACTATAAGATTTAAATTAAAACTGTGAAGATCAAAACAAGGGTAAATTTGAGTCCACATGGACAAAAGACTGGTATCAGGTTTTATTGTGCTCTTACCCCATATACAAACCAACTTTTTGCTGATCTCCTGCACGCATTCACTGGAAATGCCTGTACGAGCAGGGACTTTGCAAGGCAAATCAAACTATTAATGCAGGAAATTCTTTGAGCTAACCACTGCTAGCCACTGCCTTTATCTTTCCAACCTCTCCACACATCCTGTCTTACTCTGTTGGACAACTTCTTTGCCTGTGACAGGCTCTGACGTGCCCCCTGCCCCGCAGAGCCTGGACACTGAACTCGCACAGGGTGAAGTGCAGCAAGACTAAACAACTTCTTTTCAAGCCCTGAGGCCCTGCAGAGACACGTTCTAAGTCACTCTTAAATTAGAGGACTTGATGTTGGGGATGATGCTTTCTGTGGGCCCCTTTCAATTACAGATATTTGAGTCAGGAACACAAAGCGATGACGCAAGTGAGGCACTTTCCAGACATTTTGCATCCCGTGGCACAGACACAACGCTCCTGTCAGTGGAATTTCTGTCTCTAGGTGACACACATGAAGCAAGACCCTCAGCTGAAAGTGTTTAAACACACCCACAGACTAGAGGAAAGCCATCCTCACTGCAGCCTCAGAAATGCACGTGCACATTCACGTTTCCTCCAAAAAGCTGAGGAATGAGGACAGTTCTGACTTTGTGAAGACTTCACAGAATATAACTCTCTGCTGCAAACACAGCAGAAAACTCAGATCTCACCCTCTCTATTCCTACAGCAGAGCCCTGTGGGTTCCCTCAGATATGAGCCTCTCTCCAAGTGATTCAAGGCAGTGCTAAACCAAGTCCTGTGTCTTGGTTCAGTGAAATGATGGAAGTGTTGCTTTAGTCTGCAAAGGGTTAATGTGCTTGAGTCACAGCAGGAAATTTTCTTCAAGGGAAACTCCTCTGAAATGCACAGGGAGAGGCCACTTCACAAACATATTTTCATAGAGGGATCTGTATTTTTTCTGCTTTTTTCATTTGTTACTGCCGTTTTTTAATTCCTCAAGGGACAAAAAAAAGTTTGAAAGCTTTTGTAATCTGTGCTTCAGTGCCCCATTTTCAACAGTGACAACCCATCACAATACAAAAGAGCAACAATAGCACTGCCTCAAGATATGCCACTCCTAGTGCCACCATCTGTCCTCTGCTGGTTATCTTTTTCCAACAGAGTGTGAAATAACACCCAGCTTCAGGCAACAGGACTGCAAATTAACTGAGATACGAGATACATGAGAAGATAATGTACAAGTTCCACAATGAAGACACCAACCTTCTGACATCTGTCAGAAAGTGCTTCCAGAGTCAGGCTTGCACTTCTTTCTGTACATCTGTAAAGCTCTCTGTGAACCAGAGATCCCCACAGGACCTCACAAGAGCAGGAACATGGGGAACAGAACAGACACTTCAAACTTTAACAAAGTCTTATCTAAATAGAGCAGGTTTTGATTTTTGGGTTTGTTTTTTTTTTAAATCAAAGATGAATTCTCTGAATGGGTGTTTTTTCTCTTTCAGAAAGTTGCCTGCAGAAAAGATGCTTTAACTGTTCCTCTACACTGGCATTTTTGCCATTTTTAATAACAGTGGATTTTTCTTTCTCCTAGAGCACATAACACCAGCTATATATAAGTATAATAAAATTACTACATTAGACACGATGAAAAGGTGTACAA